AGAGTCCCGGCCTGTCTCCAATTAGTTGGTATAAATGTCATATTTGGGCAAAGGATTTAGAAAAGTTTACCAAATGGGAAAAGGAGAAAAAGTTAAGTTCATTTGGGGCTTTTATAAAAAAAATTTTTTTTCTCCTCACCATTTATTTATTTATTTGTTTGTTTGCTTATTTATTTATTGCATGCTTGTATGGGGGATGGAATCCAGGGACTTTTGCTCACTGGGCAAGTGTCCTGCCAGTGAGCTAATGCCCCAGTCTAGAAAAACTTGAATTTCAGGATCCAGGACTTAGTATATCATCACAGAAGAAACATCTTTCTCAGGCTGGAAGCTTCCAATCCTCAGGCATGAAAAGGTTTTGTAGGCGGTTTTGAAGTGTGATCGCGGCATCCTTTGACATTGCCATAGAACTAAACTTCAGTGAAATGACACAAAACAAAAACTGGAAGGCCAGACGGGCAGTGGTGGCACACTCCTTTAATCCCAGTATTTGGGAGGCAGAGGCAGGTGAATCTCTGTGAGTGAGTTCAAGGTCAGCCTGGTCTATGGAGGGAGTTCCAGGACAGCTAGAACTGATAGACAGAGAAACTGTGTCTCAAAAAACCAAACCGGACAGCTACAGTTAGGAGAAGACCACACCATGGGAAGAAGAAAGGCCTTGCCCATCTTTTTTTTTTCAGTAATCAGTAGGCAAATGATGAGGAGAGCCAATGCGTTGCAAGAGACCTTTTGACTGAATCAGTCACAGCAGCTCCTGAGAACACAGGGTCCATTTTCCAGCCGGTTGTTATGCGCAAATCATGTTTTAAAATGAAAGTACACACCTAATGTACTTTCAGTGCATCCTTCGGAGCAGCGCCATTCCCAGCTCAAGGCCAAAGCTTCTGGAACACCCCACGACCCTGTCCCCTCCATTTCACAGCCACCGCTCGGAGAGGAGCGACAGACTCTAATGACAGACGATGGCTCAACTCTTCTCAGCGCAGTGAGAAGATCTCTATTACAAAGACTGGCAAATGCCACAAGTCCGTGCCCCCGACCCCGAGGACAAGTGGTGAGATCTCAGTCAGCACAGCGCTGGGTAAGAGCATGGAGGACACCCGAGAACACATTCGCCTCCATCTTTAGGATCCTCGGGCCACCGCGAGACCATGTGGTAGAGATTCAATACCAGAAACCTCAGATGTACACAGCTATATCCAAGCCACGGCTTCCTAAAATTAACTTTTGAAGGATTGAAAGAGAATTTTCAAACGGCTATCATAATATCTGCCAAAAGGGCGCCTGCACGCTGGGCCCAGAGCTTGGTAAGCAGAGGCCATCGTAACAGCAGACTGATGTCTTATGGCGCCTGTGGGCGGACTCAGTGCTAAGTGTCCCCACTCCTGTGTCAAATGCTATGTCATTCCCTTTCCAGTCCTTCCGTTCCTGGAATACAAATGCCGTGGAGAAAAGGTCCCTCGCATTTATTGGCGTATTTTGAGACCTCAAAATGGTACTCAGCTCATTGTAGGCACCAGAAAACATGTGCAGGATGGGTGAATGAATGAATGAATGAGCTTCATTTCTGCCTTGGGTTTACTTCTAAGATTTTACCCCTTTCTACAGTTCAAGTCATCAATGCTTCCTTTGCCTGCTGCTTTGAATTTTCTTTTTACGGGTCTGGGGTTGTAATTTGGTTGGTAGAGTTGTTGCCTAACATACACAAAATCTGGGTTCGAGTTCCAGGAATGCATAAACTGGCGTGGCCCCCACATGCCCGTTTTCCCAGCACTGGGAAGGCCAGAAATTTAAGGCCATCCTCAGCTACCCAGAGAGTTTGAAGCCAGCCTTGGCTATTACACAAGACCTTGACTCAAAAACAAAAGAAAAGAAAACAAAACAACCAAAAGCACTCTTGAATGTATGCATGTGATTCCTCAGCTGTAGAATGGTCAGGTTCCAAACAACTATGCTGCATGCCACTGCCCCTTGGGATCTTTGCCCTTGTAACCAAGGCGGCTGCCGCCTGACCGCCTACTGCAAGACCCGCCCGGGTTTCCCATTCACCAGCACAACAGAGCACGTGCCCAGCTCACGAGCCCGGCCTTTCTGTTGAGTTAGGCGGTTTCTCCCCACTTCTCTTCCTGCTCCGTGCCATTTTCACTTCCCTCCCTCAGAAGGGCTGTGGCTCGGGAGAGGAAATCTCACCCAACACATAGGGCTGTATCCAAGGAACCAAACACATCCCCCCTGTGGCCCATGTGAGCCCTGTTCTGACACTTGTGCCCCTGGTGTGGCTTTCTGAAGTGGGGTCAGGGGAGGATGGGGCACAAAGATGGGGGCACTGGGACAGGGGAGGAGGTGGCTTCCACACTTCTGGGAGGCAGGCAACATATTATGGGAGCTCTCTGGAGTCGGTCAGTTCTGTAATTCAGGGTTCTGGTCACACTCTGCACAGGTGAAAACGGAAGCTGGAGTTTGCTTTAGCTGTTTAGGACAGGACAAGGGGAGAAGCTCCTTAGGAGACATTGTGTCTGGGATGTCTGATTCTGGCCGTGGCAACCTGGCTGGTGATGTTAGGCAAGCTATACCCCACTCTCTGAGGAACTGCTGTAAAATGGGTAGGAGTTTATTTAATTCATACTAAGCATTTCCTAAGCAGCAGCTAAAGTAGATGGTGCGCTATATACCTGTAATCCCAGCAGCGCGGCTGTAAGTTCGAAGCCAGCCTGTTTCTATACAGTGACTTCCAGGGTAGCTAGAGCTACACACTGAGACTTTGTTTCGAAGCCTCAACAAAGCATGAAGGTCAAGAGCACCCAGCTTGGGGTTAAGGCCCTGCTTTATTCAATACTACCTGTGTGATCTTAATACGACTTTCCTCCCTCCCCTTAACACAGCATTTTCCACCAGCTATGAGCTCTTAGAATAGATGCTTCCAAAGGCCATGGGGAGAGTCTGGCAAGTCTACTGGGTTCATGAGTTCCAGGAAAGAAAGAGGGAAGTTTCTCCTTGACATAAGCTTGCAAAGCTACATCTCCTCTCTCCCTTCCTTCCACCTCCCGCTTCGCCTTCTCGAGATAGGGTCTCAGTGTGTACCTCTGGCTGGTCTGGAATTTACTAAATAGACGGGGAAGACCGCTAATTCAGAGATCTGCCTGCCTCTGCCTCCCAAGTGCTGCGATTAAAGGCATGGGATGCTGTGCCTGGCTCCTTGTTTTCTTTTTAAGACAGGGTCTTAGGTAGCCCAGGCTGGCCTTATAGTCTCCATGGCCTTTAATTTCTCCTGGCTCCTCTGCTCATGTGCTGTATTACAGGCATGTGCCACCATACCTAGTTCGTTTGTTCTTTGTTTTGTTTTTGTTTGCCTTAGAGAGACAGGATCCCAAGATGTAATCTGGGTCAAAATACTTTCATTACTATTGCCTCTTTCGAACTTTCTGAGTCATACTTCTGCTTCATAGGTAAGGTCACTGTGACAGGACTTCTCTTTACGGTTCCACAGCTAGGCAGTGTCTGGACTCCTGGATCCATGACTTTACTTTTCTCCAAAAAGTGAAGCTAAAGCACACTAGAATATATAAGCCAGCTCTGGTGTGGAATGCTTCCTTCCATCTCCTTACAGTGGGAAGGCTCCCACACATGGAAACTAGATTTTCATTACTATAAAACCTTGGACAGGTCGAACTCTCTCCTTGCGTGGGTTGTGAGTCTCAGCCCCAGTGCACTGGTTCCCGTCTTGTCTCATCATTAAAGCTTCATGTGATTGCAGCAAAAAAAAAAAAAAAAAAAAAAACCTTGGACAAAAAAAAAAATAT